GTAAGCCTAAATTAAAACCTCTTTTCCATCTCCTTTTTTAATCTGCTGGTCCTCTACACCAGCCTGGGCACACCTGGCACTCTCTGAATTGATGAGCCTGCAGCCCCCAAATCCCAGGTCGTTCTGATTCAAGATTTAAAAATCCTTTTTTGTTATTTTGTTCAGTTCCTTCTCCAAACAAGATGCCTCTCTCTCTGTGGTCCACCTTCAGAGCCACCTCCTGAAAGTCAGTGGCATTTATTAAGTCTGGATGTAATAGGCAGTGGTATAACAGAATAACTGAGTTGGAAGGGACCTTGGAGGTCTTCTAGTCCAACCCCCTGCTCAAACAGGAAATCCTATACCATTTCAGACAAATGATTGTCCAATCTCTTCTTAAAAACCTCCAGTGTTGGAGCATTCACAACTTCTGGAGGCAAGTGGTTCCACTGGTTAATGGTTGGCAACGTCAGGAAATTTCTCCTTAGTTCTTAGTTGCTTCTCTCCTTGGTTAGTTTCCACCCGTTGCTTCTGCTCCTGCCTTCGGGTGCTTTGGAGAATAGATCTTTTGAACTCAAGACAATTTTTCAAACTACAATAAATAGTTTTACTATCTATATATTACTGAAACTCTCTTTGCCTGTTTGTAACCCTTCCATTAGGCCAAATGGTACACTGTAATGCAAACAAAATTTGAATCAAGGTACCTCGGAATCCACAAAGGGCAAGAATGTGTGCCAAAACTGGGATCTCTTTTTATGTAATGAAAAATTCAAGGAGTGTCACACCAGTTGTATTTGCAAAGTTGTGGCTGCTACACGTTCTTGTGATTTCCGATTCTCCCCGCCAACTCCCCACAAGCAAAGTCAGTGGGGAAGACAGCAGGAAGTCGACGCTGTTTCCCCCTGCTTGTTTGACCACCGGTGGTGAGAAGGGCTTCTGTGTTTAGGTAAGGAAATATCTCTGCTGTGGGTCCTGCGTTGTCTAGTTTGTAGTAAAGGAAGCCTAAAACTTTTACTTACAAACATACTAGATGTGTACATGGAGTGGTACGGTGGCCTAGAGGTGGAATTCTCACCTCACAATCAGGAGGCTGTGAGGTCGATCCTTGGTAGAGGCAGGTATTTCTCTCTCTTTCTCTCTCTCTGGGCACACTGACAACGTATCTGCTGAACAAAACTCTGCATTGGTGACAGGAAGGGCATCCAGCCATTAAAACACTCTGCTAGCTCCATTCAGTTACACAGACTCCGCCCCGCAAGGGATTATGGGGTTGTTAAAAGAAGCTAATATTAGATGAGTACATCTGAAATGCTTATTCCAAATGTTTTTGTCACATCCGCTGTGACAGCTTACAAGAGACCAAACTGTAGGACAGAAGCTGCAAATAACCAGCAGCATTTCATGGTTCAATCCTTTCCATAGGTTTCAAGCTGCCTTTGGATCTCATGTTTGAAGCTCGTGTTTTTCTCTTACATCTACAGTACTCGTGTTCATGAGGTTCATGAAATAAGCAAGCGACAGGCACTAAGAACTGGAGTGGGGGAATACATTTTCCAAAATGAAAACACTTCAGGGCTCAAGGCATGCCATCTTCACCCGGCGACAAGGCTCTTCTGAAGAGGACAGCAATTGTCAATCTCTTGATCAGAAAAGTGCTGCTGTGTTTCCATGCCCAACAGCTGAGCCTTTATTGGGTCCATCGCTCTGCCACCGGTCTAACCGCGGCCACGCGGTCGCGGTCCAAGCACTAGGGCCTCAGCCCTGAGCGCTCCCACCTGGACTGGGGTGGTGAAAAACCCCTTTGTCCTGGCTGCTGTCCTCCTCTCTTACTTCCTAGTGCTGATTCTCTTGAAAAAAAAAAGGTCGCCATCGAAGAAAAACAGGCCTCCACTTCTAATCAAAGTGGAGCCTCAGAATTCATGTCCATCCTGGCTGGACTGAGTCGAAAACTGGAGTGTGGGCATGGCGCAGGGCGGAGCTTCAATTAATGTGCAGACTCAGTCCAAGAGGCCGAGGACTCGAGCCTACCCACTCTCTCTGGACTCTCGGAGCCACAGAGAGGGAAAAAATGGGCCGTTTAGCTTTAGCGGATTTCAAACTAAGTCAGAGGTTACTTTCCTGCAGGTTGGGGGGAACTAGGAACAGGAGGGCAAAAGGAAAGGCCAGAAAAATTGAGATTCTTTTTTTTTTTCCCTGAGTGAACAAAATGGCAAAACCTCAAGCGAAAAACCTGCTTTATGTGTTAAGAGGCAACTCCGGAGCCCTTGTTAAGATTCGACATACCAGAGGAAGAAAGATTCCAGGTGCAAAACCAGACCTCCAAAATGGCTCAACATAATTTATTTTTTTTTATGTTAAAATGTACAGAGTTCTTTTGAAAGTACTTGCTAGAAAGGGGGGAGGGAAAAAGTGATATTACATACAAGGGGAGGAGGAAGAGAGGCCGGCCGGCCCAGGAGCTCATGACATGGAGAATCACAAAGGGTTATCATCCAGGCACCCCTTCCCCTTTTGAAGCTTACAAGTCACCAAGAACAAAGTACAAAGAAGTTACAAAACAGGAAAAGCAAATATAAACAGACAGGAATAGACGGCGGCTTCATTTTGTACATGCGGCTTTTAGAGGCATCTGGAGCTCTAGTCACACATTCTAGAGATCTCTTTAAAGAGAATTTTCATCTTTCTTAAAATAGTCTTTAATATTCTACAACAAAGATAAAAAATTTTTAAAGATGGAATGAAATGAAAAAAGCTCTTTTTTTTTTTTAAAAGGCATCAAAGTCACTAACAGTGAGTTTTTCTTTTTTTTTTAAAATGTCTTTTTAGAAGATTACCCAAGTTTATTTTGCTAAAAATACATTATTATTTTCTTTCTTTTTTTCTTTTTTCTTTTTCTTAAACAGAAGTGGAAAAAAAAATGACAGGTACCAATATTACTGTGTTGGATAATTTTTTTTCTCTTCTTCTTCTTCTTCTTAATAATAATAATAATAATAATATAGAAAAAACACCGGTTCATCTACAATAAGCTCTACAGTCACAAAGGTTTGTGGAAAAAAGGGAGCTGCCCAATTGATTTAAAAATTAAAAATAAAAGTAGAAAAATCCAAAACCGGGGGGAGGGGGGGGGAAATGGTTAACAGCAGACGGAAAATATATATGTATATGTATATGTATATATATATATATATATATATATATATATTTTACGGCCCTCGTGCCAACAGCTTTGCTTTCAACACCCCCAACCAACCAGCTCCTACCCATCTGCAGCCAGGAAGCAACCCCAGCCAGTAGATCACCTGGGCAGGAGGGGCCAGGCTGGGTCACCTTTCAAGACAGATGAAGTGAGCCTGGGTCGGTGGGTATTTATTTACAGGGTCCTGGGTCCTACACATGCTCAAGAACTCGAGAGAGAGAGAAAAAAATGAGGGCTGGAAGCCCAAGGGATTCTGCCTTCCCATCCTCAGGAGGACAGAGGAAGTCCACGGAGCTGCAGCGGGAGCTCGGGGGCCGCTCCAAACTGCCTTTCAGGTTGCTTTGAATAAAACCCCCCAAAAAACCCAAAAACAAAATCTTTACACATCTAAGTCGATTCTAAGTGCGTCTGTAGCTCTACAGGAATATACAGAGAAGACTTTACACATCAGAAGGATAAGCTACGTTTTTCCCCCCTCCTCCTCCTTGCAATCGGCGGGTGGTGTGTGGCCCGCTGGCCTTGCGGATGGTCGGTTTGATGGGATGGACCGCAATGCGCGCGGGGGGGGGGGGGGGGGGG